CTGTGTTACTTGAAAGGTCACAAAAACTGGGGTGCCTGTGGGTGGCTCAGTCGGTTAAACATCTGATTCTTAATCTCATCTCAGGTCTTGATCTCAGGGTCATGAGTCAACCCCACATTGGACGCCATGCTGGTCATGGAGCCTACTTAAAAAAAAATTCACAAAGATTAGGAATAAAATTATTAACTTTTTGGTATGTATACACAGAACATTTTTAGAGAATAAGTACACACACACACACACACACATTTGTTTCAGAGGAAACGCAGGTAGACATGGAGCTTGGGGATCTTGCAGGGAAATCCCACTGTGTGGTCTTCAAACTCCCAGTCACCTGGGAGGTTAAGGTGCACACAGAGATATACTTGATGACATTTTGGGAAAAGGCCTAGAAGTCTGCTTTTTTACAAGGTCTCTAGGTGATTGTGTTGAAGGTCCTATAGAACTCACATTTTAATTTTTGTTTGCCAGTATTGTCTCCTTATAATGACTTTGGATACAGAATTGTCTGAATGTTTTCATCCATAGTGGTCCCTGGATTTTAAGCCGCATGATGCCCAAGGTTGGAAAATAGTTATGATGTCATTTACAAAATACCTTTCTTCTTACTGCTTCTTTGCTAGTGTGTTTTTTTTTTAAGTGGAATGTTCAGTACAATAGGCAGATTTATCGTTTTCAATAGTGTAATAACTGTTTTACTTGGTAATCTTAACACATTATTGTCTAATCAGTCCCTGGAGGGTTAGTTGTAGACATTTTTTTCTTCCTTCTCCTTCATTTCTTGAGACATATATGGGTTAATGAAACACTCAGAATAATCAACTCTGGTATTGAGCTAGCTATAGCTGTTGAATCGAATTGAACTGAGCTCTGGGGAATTATTTTAGATATGCCAAATAAATAATTACTGTGATTTCTGGTTTACAAAAACATTGAATTAACAGATCTTATTGTTCATTGGAAATTAGTAGGGACTCCTAATTCTTGACATAGAAACATGTCTGAGATAATGTCTCAAATACTGCATATGATTTTTAATTTTTATTATTTTTCATGTATTTATTTTTATATATGATTTTTAAGCACGTTTTTCTCCCCACTGACCTGCCCTTGCAAACATTTCAATAGAAATTCCAGTTATCCTTATAGACATTAGCAATCTGAACAATTTTAAATAATATTTTCATTATTATCAAAATTTCTTCTTCCCTCCAGGTCACTTATTTTCTTGTTGGGTGAGATGGGCCTGTGCTAATCAGCAGGGTTTTTGAATTGCATAACCCAGTATTTACTGGCCAGTGTTAACTCTTCAGTTCACATTCTCATAGAGTGATGCTTCTAAGACAGATTCCTTTATCTGCTCATCTAACTTTTTGTAACATAGAAAGATTTTAGCTTAATTCAGATCAAATATGGCCAACACTTGAAAGAACCGGGTATTTCATTTTTATAAGTCCCTATGGAGGAGAATTACCTCCTTATGTGACCCTCGATTTCCCATTGAAATTTGCATATGCAGTCTGAGATTGTCAAGTCAGATTCTTCAATTAACCCTTCGAGCAGACTACTTACGTATGAAGAATATTTAAGTACTGGGGGTTCTAAGTCACCTGAGGATGTCTCTCTTGATAAACTCATGAATGAAGGTTGAGCTCATGCCCAAGGCATTCAGTATGGCCACGGCTTCGCCTTGTTCCCCCTCATTGCCCCTCATCCACCGTCAGCTGCCCTGGATTTGTATCTGAGATGACATGGCTGCCCAAATAGACTATCAATCTATTTCCTTTTTTTTTTTTAAAGATTTTTTTATTTATTTATTAGAGAGCGAGCGAGAGAGAGACAGCATGAGAGAGGAGAGGGTCAGAGGGAGAAGCAGGCTCCCCGCTGAGCCGGGAGCTCGATGTGGGACTCGATCCCAGGACCCTGGGATCATGACCTGAGCCGAAGGCAGTCGCTTAACCAACTGAGCCATCCAGGTGCCCAATCTATTTCCTTTTTAAAAACTGGGCTAGTTCTTTACATAACCAAGAATTTTCAGTTTAGAGCCTCTGGCTCAGTGATGGAATACTAGATTGCTTTAACATGTGTGATGGCACTAAAATTCTTCAGCAGTGTCATAATATCCTCACCAGATGTAGTCATTAGATAGATCAAATATCAAATAGGATCTTTTTTTTAATTAGAAATGGGACATGGTGAGTGTGTTATTTCAACATGAACTAACAATTGTTAAGCCAGCCATGTGACTGGATAACTCAGTTTCATGGATGTCATGAGTTCTAGGACAAATCTACCTCATGTACTGTAATTATTCATATCAATTTTTTAAAAGATTTCTTTATTTGAGAGTGAGAGCAAGCAGCAGTGGGGGAGCAGAGGGAGAGGGAGAGAATCTCGAGCAGACTCCATGCTGAGCGTGGAGCCCGACACTCAATCCCAGGATTCTGAGATCACGACCTGAGCCGAAACCCAGAGTCAGATGCTTAACTGACTCTGCCACCCAGGTGCCCCTAATATCAATATTTTTTAACCCCACTAAGAAACTTCATAAGAAGGTGAGGTGTAGAAAAGCATGTTTTCTGTCACTTAACTTTTTACAACTCCCAATTGATTCATAAATTTGGACCTTTTCTGCCCTAGGTACGAAACTGCACACCATCGTTGCTTGGGAGTAACTACATGAAGACACTGATTGTTCTTGTCTTGGTTATTTCTTCACCTGGGTTCTAATTTATAGAAAACTCAGAGTCCTTAGTTATATGAGCTCCACATGCTCCAAAAACCAAAAATGTACAGTGTTGCTTGGTGTCAACCTTCTGATGTAATATCAAAATGACTGGATGAGAGTCAGCCCTATATCAGACCAAAATTGGATCACTGCTTCTCTGCAGCTTTGTTTGATCTTGATGTTAAGATATTTGGAAAGAGATCAATAATCATCAGATGTCTCAAGTCTACTGAAAAAATAATTACACAATATTTAACTGGTGTCGTAGCATGACAGAATGGTGTTTCTTGAAATACAGAATGATAGTTATGCTACTATCTTTAACTCAAGACAGGGAGAAGAACCCGACATCTCTCTCTTTATGTGTATGTGTGTGTGACTATGTAACTGTCTATAACTGTAACTATGTATTATATATATATATATAATATATGAGGTAGATATAACTTTACATATATTTTATATATCATAAAATACATGTAGTATGTATTTGTATATTAAATATAATATTAATAGTATTAATATAATAATAAATATATGTGTGTATATATATATATATATATATAAACTTTTCTCTGTTCCATACTAACTGAAACAATGATAATAAAAAATATAAGGTGGCCTGAATCTAGAAAAGTTGCCATAGAGATTCTAGGTAATTTCACTTCAAATTTACTGAATCAAACAATTTCCTACTGAGTAGAAATGATCTATATCAGTAGCTTTTATGAAATAGTGATTTAATTTTTTGAGTATTTGTTAACTGGAATTCCCTGTAGCCATTAACCTCTCTTTTTACTTGTTTGGGGGGTGAATCTCTTTCTTTTTCCTTTCTCTCATTTTTTCTTTAATTCTCACTCATTCATATAATTGGCATACCAAATACTTTGAGAATGTGACCCAAAATGTCAGCTAAATGTGTATATATAATTATGTATATATAAATCCTAAATATCTTGCTTTTATTTATGCAATAAACAAAAACTGAGCAAGATATTTCAATATCCTGCACCTACTTTTATTGAACAACTAAAAATACCAGCACTTGTCAAGGGAAAGATGCTGGTGGGAGTGGCCAGGGACCAGGGAGAAAGTTTCAGCTGGGATTGTGTCATAGGTATGGTTTTACTGAGGGGCAATAAAACCAGAGGAATGTCGCCGTGACGACAATCACGTTCCCTCTTCTTGGCCATCCAGTTTTACTGGCTGCTATGGCCACGAGGAATTTTATGTTTTCTACAAGATTACTGTCTTTCAACTGGTTTGCTCCATTGGAACAGGTTTCCAATTTGCTGGAATCAAATTACTGAAAACATAGTACATGTCATTTAAATTTCATAACCATGAAAGCCATTTCATATATATGTAAAATTACTAATCTGGAAAAGTCATGTCTCAGATCAATAATTTTATTTTGATTCAGAAAGTATGTATGTGTTTGTTCAAGGGGCAGAGGAAGCTGTGGGAGGGCTTCCTGCTTCCTTGTGTGAGGGTCCCATACTTTTCTCCTCCATCTCCTGGTTGAAATGGTAATGCACTTGGGAGCTTCTCTGGTTCGAATGAGTGTATCACCTGCCTTGGTGAAGATAAGGATACTTGGTGTGCACCCCTGACTTCAGTGTGAGGGAGTAGGGGCAGCCCCACGTGGTTGGGGTGTCCAGGATTTCTCAGCATCTAAAGGAAAGGAGCACTTCTGACTGATGCAGTCCTTTTGCAGCCTGGCTAAAATAAGACATGAATCGTGACATTGTGGGGAAAATCTTGGTATGTGAGCCTGGCATAAGAGAGAAATTTTAAACAAGATGCGAGAAAAAATAAAGTCACATTGTCAGTTTCACCCTTAAAACGAAGTTTTTCCGAGGAGAAGGTAAGTTTCAATAAGAGAGCCGTGGCATCACTTTTCTAGTTTTTCAGAGTAATCCAAATCATTGAAGAACATATGTTACCTGGTCATTACTAACTACTGAAACCTGTCTAGAAGGACGTCCAGGGGAAACAATCTATTTAAGAATCACTTTTTGGGGTCCATATATTTATTTTTGTTACTGACTGTAAATTTGGTTCTGGCCTTTAAAGATGCCAGTCTTTGGTTCTGATGAGATATATCTCCTAGTGATCACTTGAGGTTAAAATGATCAATACTAGGCCATGGACACAGGGAGGATGGATGACAGTGAGATGAGGCACCGCACAGGCACTCCCAGCAGGGAGGTGCACGGCCAGGAGAACCCCAGATGTGGGCACAGACAGCCAGAGTCCCGGACACCAGCCTTGTCGTCTGCAGAATTAAGCGTTGAAAGGTTCTCACATAGGTGATATTTTCAAGAACAATTCAGTGACAGGCATACAGGATTTTAACCCTACAGCCTTCATGGAACCAGCGGGACCATGGCTGGGGAAGCAAGTTTCTTCAAAAACAAGCTGTATGCGTTGGGGGTCAGGGATCACATATGCCATCTTATCAAATACTTGACTTCCTCTTTAGAGTCTGACAAAGCTTCTGTATTTTCATAGGACCTCCCCCCAGCAGACAGACAATGCTGGGGGGAAAAAAGGAAGCTAAACAATGATGTGCTAAATTTGACAGAAACTTAACTTTTTTTTTTTAAAAGATTTATTTATTTATTTGAGAGAGCGAGAATGAGAGAGAGTACATGAGAGGGGGGAGGGTCAGAGGGAGAAGCAGGCTCCTCGCTGAGCAGGGAGCCCGATGCGGGACTTGATCCAGGGACTCCAGGATCATGACCTGAGCCGAAGGCAGTTGCCTAACCAACTGAGCCACCCAGGCGCCCAACAGAAACTTAACTTTTCACATGATACCAAACCTTACCCAAATGCAACGTTCTTTGCCCTGCTTTTGTTCTCCAATTTTCCACTGAAGCCATCCCGAGGAAGTGGTATCATCAGCTTAATTAAAAATACTTCCTTTGTCTTGGCTGGCTTTTACCAAAAGGAGTGGTTCAAGTTCTTAGAAGAGATGGCTCCTGGCGTTACAATAGCTGAGGGCTCTGGGAGCCCCTTTCACGCGGGCTCTGCTGGGACCCGTAATGTAGCTAGGTAAACAGCGATCTCATTTTGGGTCATGCGGGTTTACTAACATCATCGTGAAAGGTATCAACAAGATATGAGGTAGCTGTCAATTTATTTAACTCCGTTTGCTTTGGCTTTTGGGTTTTTTTTTTTCCGTCTTACGGAGTGAACTCGGAGGAAGCTGGAAACATTTCTTTCCACTGAATTTTTGTCAAGCTAAAAGCAATGCCTGCTCATTAAATAATTGTAAATGAATAGAAAAAAAGAGAAGTTACTGACAATCCCCAAACTTTCAGACAAACACTTTCTATTTTCCTTGATTTTGAGACACACTTAGGAACTCTCATTATTTTTTGAAGGTTTCAAATAATCCTAAATGAGGACGCGTCTGTCTGTTCTGAAATCAGAATGGTTACTGAAGCTCCACACATTTCAGTTGGGTTAAACTTTGACCAAGCCAGGTGACCAGTTAGCAGACCACGTGGAATACTTTCTATCAGCCAAGACCACACACCCAGATTCCTGGAGCAGGTCTCAGTGTTTGTAATCAAACATAACCCCAGAATGTTTGCTCTCCTAAGCATTTGAGACACATTCTTCTCATTTGAAAGCTTTGTGTCTTACTCAACAACCTCTGTATCTAAACTATGTTAAAGATACATAGTGAAGGGATGACATCACAGAGCTGATTTTGTTCTTTCAGCTCTGTGCTTAGCTAAAGTTGAGCAGTTGCAATGAGTCATGCAATCTTGTGACCGGCCGGGCACTTTTCCAATCAGAAAGACAGTTAAGATCTTTAACAGAATCTGGAGTTGTTTGAAGACGAGGTAACAGCAGGACCTGGACGCTTGGTGAAACCAAGCCTGTGTGAGTAACAAAATGTGTTCCTAGTCCTGCTGAATAACACAACACCAATGATGAAGTAACACTTAGTAAAGCTGACTCATTTCCTCATTTACAGATGAAAGGGACTGTTGGAGAAATGACTATCTCCCAGGTAAGTGATGTTTCCTTCAGGTAATGCGTGGTGAGTCTTTTTAAAGCCAGGCTGACCGTGACATTGGCTTGTTGGTTATCAGGTCTATTGAAAGGGAAATTTTATTACGAAATCCTGTCAGATGTTAAAAGCCAGGTCCATTTCTAACCTTGACTACGTGAGGACTGCTGATTTTGGACAATATTCAGAAGAAAGAGCTCGTGGGAATCAGGTGTAAAGATGATTGGACATAGAAAATAAAAATGTGGACTTAAAGCAAAGTTTCTTTTTATTTCCCACCAGATATGTGTTTACTGGCAATGCTGCACATCTGGGTGGAATATCTGTGGGCGAGTACGCTGGATGCCCCTCTGTATCTAGGGAAGCCTCAGTTGTACCGGGACTGGGGACTGTGGGATTTCCAGCCATGTCCTGCTGACATGGCAGGCACTGCCATGCTGGGAAACCAACCTCCTCTCTGCAATCTTGCTGTAATCTCCTGGGCTTTATACTCAAGGCTGCCTTTACAACGCATTCCTCAAAGTTAGTTTGGAGCCTACTTATTTTAAAAAACACAAGAAGCCTGTTGGGAGAAAAACATTGGGAGAATGGGTGCATTCCTCACCCAAACTCATAACTCTTTTCTTCCTCGACTAGATCTTACTAGGACTTTACAAAAATGGAAGTAGGCTCTCTAAATAGGATTTTGTTATTTTCATTCATTTATAACGTGTGGCTTGCCCTCTGTTGTCTCTTTCCCCTACTTCGTATGCCTTCTTCTGAATTCTCGTGTAATTTTAACAGTTGTACAATTCTTTTTGTGGTTGGGAAATCACAAATTGTGAAACACGTTAAATTGAGCACATTTAAAAATAACTTAGCCTTTTCTACTGTTTGGGTAAGGCCGTCTGCTTGTTTGGGGTTGCTAATGGGAATAAGTGACCATGTGTACAGTACCTCTACAGCTGGTCTGTTTGCTCAGAGGAAAGAATTCATTGAATAGCCATAGACTACATTCCAGAATGTTGGCCAACCACTGTGCAAAAGGGAACTGTTGGGTCACAGCAAAGCCCACTGCCTTGGCTGGAAGAGCAGTTCCAAATGTCTGCCCAGGGGACAGAGACCTTGTTGCAGGATGTCCATGTGGGCTCTCCTAACAAGCATTTTTATTAGTGGTTCTTTCCTCCTCTTGGCTTCCTAATAAAAGGCTATTGGAATTTTGAGTCTCTGGAAGTCCACGCTTTTTTTGAAGTTACTTCCTATGTTTTGCAATTAATTCTCCCAATGAACTCGATCTAAATATTGGGTTGGGGGGTTGGGGTGGGGGTAATCTCAAATACTTCAGGGCCCGGAGGAGATCTGTCGCGTTGTATTTCTCTCCTTCCTCGCGAACAGACGACAATGGTATGGTTCTGCATTTGGAATCTGAGAATCTGCGGAGGCATCGAGTTGGTCTGCAGGGAGGGTTAAGAGCTAGCCTGGTGAGTGGGATGTGGCATGTGCCAACTCCCCCTCCCTCATTGATCTGTTTTATAAATTGGACAGCTCTACTTTGATCTGCTTTCAGACAAGAGTTCCTTTTAACCCAAAGGGATAAATAAATGGGTTTGAAAGTTGTTTAGAAGGGAATGTCAAAGCAAAGCCCAGAAGGAGGCTGGTGCAGCCTCAGTTGGCCACTCAGAATGGAAGTCAGGGCAGGGCTCAGGGACCATGCTGGCCTGTGCAGGTCTCTCCTCCTCCAGATTCTCAGGGTCTGACTTATAAGGCAGCACAGAATGGGTCATGTCCTGGTGCCTGGTCTGCCCAGATGGAGTCCGGACTCCCTCCTCTGCCTTATTTGCCCCATCCCTCCCTCTTAACCCTCTCTGTGCTATGTAGCCTCAGCAAGTGGTGGAAGCCTCTAGGAATCAGACTTTCTGTGGTGGGAACCGCCAAGGCGGCGGGTAAGCCCTAACTCCTCTCCTCCAGTGAATGGTGACTTCTCTCTCCCAAACTCATAAGCCTGAGGTCCCCAGAGCACATTCTCTTCCCTTCCTGACCCCACCACTTTCCCTTTCCAAAGACCTAAAGAGCCTTTGCCTTCCCGGCGACCCTCAGATCTGTCCTTCCCCGCCTGTCCATCCCCTCGGCCACGGTCCTATTTTTGGCCCTCCCTATGTCAGGCCCATCTGTACTTCCAACTTCTTCTTCCTTGGGCCACACGCCTCCCTCCAGTTCTCGTGAATGCCTCACATGATGGCCAGATGGGTCTTCAAATGCTGCTTCGAAAATGTCACTTCTCTCAGAAAAGTCTTTGCCACTTGTCTCAGGGTATTCAAATCCCACTGACTCACTTCTCGCTTATTTTACTCAATGAGTATCTGAGCACTGGTGTTTCCCCGTTGGCCACGATGGGCCAAGAGCCACCTGCACACATCCATTTTAACTCAACATGCAAAGCCGTTTTACGTGTAAGGGCAGACGATGCTCTTCCTAGGTGACAAGAAGCAGAAGGTGCTCAGGAACGCACCTGCTGTGGCGCAGCCCATCATCCGTCCCGCCAACCAGAGTGCAGGAGACGCGTGCCAGGGGCTACATGCTAAGAGCTTGGGTTACACCATGAGCAAACATGCCCGAATCCCTGCTCTTCTGAGCGTGTTACTACGGCAGGGAGCTGAGAGGAAGAATCCCTCTGTCTTCGGTGTGGACGTCAGCCTCTGTAGGAGATCTTTTATGTGGAGCCATCAGATAATAAAGAACGACAACAGAACCGTCATTTCTAGTAGCTTTTAGCTAACCATGCCGTCTTTGGAAATCACGTGTGTGTGAAGACAGAGAGTCTAACTTCCATCTATTTTATCGTTTTGGGGGTCACTTTTAATTGTTTGGATGGAAAGCAAAGGCCTGTTGAGGGCATGAGAACAAATTTTGGGGGTGGGGCCAGTGGAAGTCAGACTCCGATGGATTTACACCCTGCCAGGTGATAGTCATGGCCTCTCAAGAGCCTGGGCCTCGTACCTGTGAAGGAGGTGTCCCAGCCTCACCATCATGCAGCCCAGCTCGGGCCTCCTCCAGCCCATGGGACTGCTGTGGATTGAATTATGTCCCTCCCAAATGTACCTGTTGCAGCCCTGACTCCCAGCCTGACTGTATTTGCAGATGGGCTCTCTAAGGAGGTAACTGAGGTTAAACAAGGTCATCGGGGTGGGGTCCTGATCCCATAAGACTGGTGTCCTGGTAAGAAGAGGAAGAGACAGCAGCATGGTCTGGCTCTCTCTCTCTCCCCCTCCTTCATGTGAAGACACAGTGAGAAGGCGGTGGTCTGCAAGTCAGGAAGACATCTCCCCCCAGAACCTGGCCATGCCAGCACCTTGATCTCGGACTCGTGGCCTCCAGAGGTGTGAGAACTGTCTGTGTTTTTTTTTTTTTTTTTAAAGATTTTATTTATTTATTTGAGATAGAGAGAATGAGAGACAGAGAGCATGAGAGGGAGGAGGGTCAGAGGGAGAAGCAGGTTCCCCGCCGAGCAGGGAGCCCGATGCGGGACTCGATCCCGGGACTCCAGGATCATGACCTGAGCCGAAGGCAGTCGCTTAACCAACTGAGCCACCCAGGCGCCCCCTGTCTGTGGTTTAAGCAGCCCTTCTGTGGTGTTCTGTTACGGTGGCCCAAGCTGACTAAGACAAGGCGTCTTCGATCAGCCATACAAGGAGGGCCCTGGTCATGGTTCTCCCTCTGAATCTCTGCTTCCTGGTGCTCTGGGGTCTCCCACGGCACGTGCGTTCTTACCCGCCCCCTTGCAGTAGAAGCCTTGCTGTTAGGACTCCAGTAAGGGGTCGTGCACATATTTGTCCCCCTTGGGTACTAGCCAAATACATCCCTCACACTATGAAAAGGAATATTTGTTGATCAACCGGTCTGCCAGATGGGATGAGCCAAGTTGTACCTGGTAGGCTGAAATCGTTCATTTTTACTTTGGTTTCAGGATAGGCAGAGAAATATTGAGAATATTCTGTACACACCTCTGGCTATTTAGAGAGCTGAGAGCTGTTTATTTTCTCCTGGAACGATCTGGAGAGTTACTTCTGCCCTTTAACTGGCTCACGGACATAACATAAAGCAGTACGTGCCAAATCCTACAAGAGGAGTGCTTTAATTGTCTTCAAACGGAAGGTGTTTTATCAATAAAATCAAAATCCCATTAAATTCTCTGGTACTTGACCAGGATGCTTCATCCTGCACCCTTTCTTTAAAATTATTTAATCTCTTCTTAGTAAAAAAGGAGAAAATACCGGTTGAACCAAAAATGATTTCTTTCTACTCTCCTGGTGTTCCTTTCTTCATTCTGCATGAAATTAATTTCAAAGAAAGGAGCCGAACTCTTCAGTTGCGGCCGCACGATTTAGTGCAAAAGCAAGATTTTCAATTAACAGCGATAACCTGCACTTGATCAGAAAATAAAGCTATTCCTGCTGAAGTGACCAGGAATTAACACTTTTTAATTGTTCTCCTAGGGAGAGTGTGTATGTCATAAAATAATCTGAAAGAGCTTTCATTTGCACTTCTGACCTAAAATGACCCTGTGCTTAATTTGACCTACTTGATGTAGGTCATTGAATCAAAGTTATCTTTCTATTAAATTATAAAAATGATTTTTCTTTGGGACGATGTATTAGCGATATTTTGCTTACTCAACAGTAATGTTCAGAAATTTATTATCCATGATGTTAGTGGGTTTCTATCTGAGCTCTGCAAATATATATATTTTTAAACTGTTCTGACGTTATTTCATTAAATTGCAACATGCGGGTTTAAAGGCCACATGGCAAGCTCCTTGGGCAGCCCTGCTCTCTGATGCCTTCAGCTCGGGCTCCAGAAGCAAAGGAGAGGAAAGCAATGACTTAATTGTTTCAGTAATTTTGGCAACCGTGTCCTTCCTCAGCAAGGCCAAATTGGCACTTGCCAAATGATCAAGATTGTTGACATTATAAAAGTTTTGCTCTGATTGTTTCTTTAGTTAATTGCTTGAAAAACTTCTGCGT